GGCGCCGCCGCCATCTTGCGGTCCCGCGGGGGCGCCTCCTGGGTGCTGCCCGTGCCGCCGCCCGCGCCTGGCACTTGTCCTTGGTCCCCGAGGGCCGTCGGGCGTTGTCTCGTAGGGTGTGGGGTGGGCGGTGACCTTAGAGCGCGCGCCCTCGTGGGCGGCGGGAAGGGGGGCTCCGGGATGGCGCAAGTGCGTCGGTCTCCCGCGCCGGCTGTCACCGCGGTGGGAGGCGAGGCGGGGCGGCGGCCCCTGGACTCAGTTCCAAGAGAGCCAGCCCTCGGCCTCTGTCCGCCTCCGGAGAGCCTGGGTGGAGCCGGCCCTCGGCCTTGTGGAGGGTGTTGCTCTCCACCTTTTCACCCGGTCTCTAACTCGGCTGTCAGGTACTCGGGGCGCCAGGGAGCCAGGCAGCCCGTGAAAGTCTCGGGTTTTGACTTCACCCGGCTGCATTGGCAGAGCCCCAAGCGCGTGCGGGCAGAAAAGCTATGCGTCAGCCTGAGAGTTGATAGTAGTAGGTTTATAGTAGTCGTCTGCCTGGCCCTCTGAAATGACATTTCAACTTCCAGTCCGTGTAGGTTAGACCTAGTGTTTGTCTGTTCCTGTCTAGTCCTTTAACTTAGCTCCTTTGCTGCAGAATCAAAGATATTTGTGACTCTTGCTTTTATGTTTGTGTTTCCCCAGCAAACCCAGAGGAGGCTGATAAGCTGTCACTCAGCTTAGGAGCTCCGTTGATTTGTTTTGTAGCAATGCCTGCGATAAATTGTTCGTCTGGTGATCCTTGAGGGATCCACGGGACTCTTTAGCCCATTCGCTTTTCATTCTGTAGACACTCTACGAGGAAGTTAAACTGTATAGATTTATTTTTTTGGAAGGCATGACGAAAGATGAGGATCCTAAGTACAAAGCAGATGATTTTCTATCTTCAGTTAATGTAAAGTACTCGCCTTTTGGAAGATTGAGTATCTCATATTTCAGTTTTAGTAGCTTTGATGAGAACAGTTTTTGTCAAATGTGTAGCAGCGCCAGTGCTTTAAACAAATTAAATCTTTGTATAAGATTTAGTTTAAACGAACAATTGCTGTTTTCCATAGGAAAACTTTCAGAATAGTTTTAGGAACTTTAAAATTCTGTGTTAAGGGTATCATGAGGGCGATACTTTACAGCTCCTTTTATTTTGAATGCATTTTAGTGCATCTGCAAATATCTGAAATGTGAATGTGCAGCCGCTTGCATTGGATTTGATTTTAAGAACTGAGAAGTATTTTGAGGGACATTGAAGTACATTTTACCTCAAAGTGTTGCATGATTTTACATAATTTGGGGAGAAAGTAGGAAAAGCACCTTTGTGGAATCATGAAATTACCTATCTCAGATACCCATTATCTGAAATTGGAGGAATTTAATGTAAGCTTTTATGATGTATGTATTCTGGAGTATTTAAGTTTTCTTTAAACTTTTTTGACAAGCTGAGTTTATGGAGGAAATTTCCTCTCCAGAGTCATCATGTGTCTATTGAGGACTTAGATGTCTTTAACAACATTTACAGAATTTGAAGTTTTCTCCCTAGAGAAATTGTAATATAGCCATAGTTAGAAACTTGAAGTAGAGCAGTAAACTTTAAGTAAAACAAAGTAACATTTAAAAAAAAGCCGGCACAGTGACTTATCCATATATTTCACTTATTTTAGGTATTGAAGAATTACAGCTATGATGATAGAACAGGTTGGTCCTGTGTTATGAAAGTAATTCAGATTCATTTTTAAAAGTTTGGACGTCAAAGACCACCATTTAAAAATTGACTTAAAGTGCTTCATTGAGAAGTTTATAGGGACACACCTTCAGTTGAGCCATTTATTTAGCAGACAGTTACTGAAAGCTTTGTGCCATCCTATGTTTGGTTATGAGTATTTAATGATGAGTAATTCATTTCAAAAGGTTTCATCTTATATTTGCGGATTCATTGCTAAGCAAAGTTTGAGAAAAGATTCACAGTTTGTAGTTTAATGGAGAAAGCATATAATTAAATAGCAGTAAAATATTTTAGGTTTTATCTCTGCCCTTGAAGAACTCCAAGACTAGTGAGGGAGACAGAAAAGGCATATAGATGCTATTATGAAGGGTAAACAAGTATGAGGAAAGAATCCTCTTTTCCCTCAGTCAGCCCCCCCCCCCCCAGGGAGTTTTCAATGGAGAGGTTTATTTTCAGTTAGGGAGTGGGGGAGGGTTAGGTAAGGGAGTTGTTTACTCACCTGGATATCTAGAATGAGTGATGCTTAAATACACAGATATATGTTTCTGTTATAAGGTGGAGTAATGGGAAGGATTGAGAGGGAGGTGCTGGATGAATTAGGAGGTGGCATTTGTTGTCATTTGGTCCTTGTTCCTTTAATGTTAGTACAGGGTAAATAGTTTGCTTTAATGGAAGCCTGTCTATATTCCAGTGCACAGCTAATTACTAAGTTAGGAGACTCATTTACAATAAACAGTTTCCTTATTCTTAATTTGGTGATCTAAAAAAAGTAAAAAATTCATTAACTCTGATTTGCCATAAATCACCTGTAATTTTTGGTTAAGTAAAGATCGGTTAAAGGATAGTTTCACATTTTTAGTGTAATCTTATTACAGGGTTTTTTTTTTTTTTAATATTCATACAGAACTGGGGTTCAGGCCAGAGATGGTGAGAGGAGAGACAGAGTGGGGAGCAGAACAGGCAGATTGATGAAGTACACTGCTGAGGAAAGCAGCAGGCAAGCCTCACCATATGGGTCACCTCCAGGGCTTGGGGATCGAACTCCAAGCGACTGTGGCCAGCTTTCAGTGCTGCACTTTACCCTGCTGCACCTCTTATCATAGTTTTTTTTTTTTAAGATTTATTTATTTGTGCATACAGAACTGGGGTACAGGCCAGAGATGCAGGGGCGGTAAGAGGCTTCACCAGAGACAGTGGGGAGCAGAACAGGCAGATTGATGAAGTACACAGCTGAGGGGAGCAGTGGGCTGGTCAGGAAAGGTGTGCCTTCTCGGGTGGGGATAGAACTGCTGAAGTGGCTTTAGCTTCTTAGTGTTGCGCTTTAACCTGTTGCACCATCAGGGAGTCCCTTATCATAGGTTTTTAACAATTATTTTTACTCTACAGTTCACTGGTAGTGGTTTCTTCAAGAATGATTTACTTAATCATTAATTGGATGATGAACTTTTTGTTATGAATAGCAATCATTTATGCATTATCACTACATAATTTTGAAGAAGCAGGTTATCAATTCAATACTTTCTATATATTTCAATATTAAACAATTATTTTATACAATTAAACTACTTTTATAGTGATGTAATGAATTCTGAAGTAGCTCTTTGGTTGGATTAGTAAAGAAGAAAGTAGGTATCTTCAAACTCTGTTGTTTAAATACTGGTATAATTTGACCAAGATTTCAAATTTGACAGTTGGTACTATAGTTTATGTGAAAGACTTAATTTTTTTGTTATCAGTTTTTTTGCTATTGTAAAACTTCTTTTGCATTGAATGTTTTACTTTTTCTATCTACTAATGGTTTTGGAGGGAAGTTTAAAAAAAAAGTTGAGAAAACATAAAAGTGAATTATATGTATGTATGTTCATTTCAATGATTTGAATAAAATAGGCCACAACCAGTGTATTGAATGAGGTGACTGATGAGAATAACAAATTAGTAAAGAAAATTAAGCTCTCAAAGGAACCAGAGCATTTTTGATTAACAGCACATTTTGAGAAGCCCAAATGAAGATACGGAATAATTCTATTCTTGGGGAGAAACTGTCAATATGTTTAGCTATATTACTAATTCACAGTGGCCATGTCAAATTCCAAGGGTATATCGTACGGTCTCTCTTCCCCACCTCCCAGGCCATAGATATCATCTTATTATTCCCTTCCTTAAAGCTTTGAAGTAGATTTTGACTGTCTTCTGAATATAAGTCCAGTTTGTTTTTTTTAAGTGTGGCATCTACAATGTCCCCCTTCCATGATATGCTCATTAGTGTTACAATGCCTGTTCATCTTCACCAATCCATACTTTCTTTCCTGAGAAAGGAAAACCCTCTGTCCATAGTTATTTTGTTGATAAAGGTAAAATCCCTCTTGACTAATACTTAACACTGTGTTCCATCAGATATTTTCCCATTTTTGTTTTCAATAACTGGCTTCTTCCTTTTCACATAAAAACATACTTCAGTCTTTTCACTAATAAAAAAACAAAAAAACAAGTGGAATATAACTTGACCCCAGCTACTTTAAATGTCCTTTGCAGTCAGCCTTCTTGGAAAAATAGTCCACGTTCACTGCCTTGCTTGTTTTTCACCTCCTTTCACCTGAAGTCCTAGTTCTAGCTTTACTGTTGAATGCCAGCTGCATTAATCATCTCCAATGTTTGTTTCATATGACTCTTGATTTTCTTTTTTATTCCTGTTATTGTCTTATTTGTGGCCTTTTTTTATATATTGATATGTCACATTTGGATTTGATTTTATTTCAGGCTTTGAACTTTTCTTATTTAGCCTCATTTTGAAGGATTCTTTAAAGACTCTTTTCATCCTATTTCTCATCCTGCTCTTTTTACACATGTTGCTACTCCCTCAAGTCTATTCTTTAATTAAGTTTATACATGTGTTGTAGAACACATTACTTATTGACTGCCTCGATTTGAATGTTTCTCAGACATCACTAACTCACTCACTATATCCCGATCCTACCCAATTCTGCTTTTCCTTTTACTAACCAATTCTACTCTTTTACCAAAATTTAAAAATTTTAATGGCCTTATGATTACTCTTGGCAG